GATTGGGGGGGCAAGGCGGGCGACGGAAGGCCGATGCCTCCGTTGCCCGGCCCTCTACAGAATCCACCCCCCAAACCTCCAGGTATTTCCCTCCTTAGAGCTGGCAACCCTACATTCCCCTCAGTGCCTGTTGGTAGGCAACTAAGCTTGGTCCTGTCACCTACTTTGGCCTTTGGGAGAAAACACATTGGGGCCAATCCTGATAGGGTTGCCAACTCCAGATGGGAAATTCCTGGAGACTTGAGGGATGGAGCCTGAAGAGGGTGAGGTTTGAGGAGGGGTGGGACCTCAGACAGGTACACTGCCATAGACTCCACCCTCCAAACCAGTCAGTCTCACATAGGGAACCATTGTTGCCAATCTCCAGGTGAGGGCTGGAGAGCACTCAGTATTACAACTGTTCTGCAGAAGGGAGGGCAGAAGTCAGCTGAAGTCAAAGGGGCAGATAATGGTAGGTTGGTGGCTAGCTGGGAAGGAGATGGGGTTGCCAACTACATGCTGACAAATTCCTGGGGATTTGAGGGGTGGAGCCTGGAGAGGGTGGGGTTTGCAGAGGGGTGGGACCTCAGACAGGTAGAATGCCATAGACTCCACCCTCCAAACCAGCCATTTTGTCCTGGGTAACAATTGTTGCCAATCTCCAGGTGAGGGCTACAGATTACTCACAATTACAACTGCTCTTCAGGTAGCAGAGATCAGTTCCTCTGGAGAAAACAGTGGACTCTGTCATTATACCCTGCTAAGGTCACCACAGCAAATTGACACTGTTTGCCCAAAGCCAGAGCACTGCCCCAGAGCCTCTTTCTAGATCCCGTTGTGTTGCTTTCACAACGTGCTTTACTGCTAGTTATAGGAATAATACAAGCATTTGAAACTGGATATTATTCCTTGATCGTTTCTGTTACTTTGTTGTACATAATTTCAACTGTTTGTGATTATTTGTGCAGTAAAAAACTATTTAAAAAAACAAACAAACATAATTTCCCTCTCCTTCTTTCCATCCCCACATCAACCTTGTGAGGAAGATACATCCAGGTGGGGCAGCCATGTTGATCTGAAGCTAGGCTTGCTAAGTCCCCCCGGGGGACGGGGAAACCCCCGCCCCAGAGGCCCGTTCCCCGCCGACAGTGGATTGGGCCCTGGGGGAACCCCACCCCCACGTGCATGTCACCAGGAAGTGACGTGATGACGCCGGGCACACTGGGGGCGGGGCCACGACCATCCACGGGAAAACTCTATGGTTTAGTCGTGGCCCCGCCCCCAGCGTGCCCGGCATCGTCACGTCACTTCCTGGTGACGTGCATGTGGCATGCTCAAGCCACAAGCCGGGAGTCCCCCGCTGCGGCGATTTTTTCACTTGGCAACCTTATCTGAAGCAGCAGAACAAGGCTGGAGTCTAGTGGCACCTTTAAGACCAACAGAGTTTTATTCCGGGTCTAAACTTTTGTTGTGCATGCACACTTCTTCAGAGACATTTCTTCAGATAAATTCAGGTGGGCAGCCATGTTGGTATGAAGCAGCAGAACAACGTTCAAGTCCAGTGGCCCCTTTAAGACCAACAAAGTTTTATTCCGGGTATCAGCATTCGTCCTTGCATCTGCCAAACAACTTTATTATGCTGTATGCTAATTTGCTGCTCACCCTCTACCTGTACGTATGGACTGGCAACGTCCGTTTCAATGTATCTGAAGAAGTGTGCCTGCACAAGAAAGCTTATGCCCTGAATAAAAGTTTGTTGGACTTAAAGGTGCCCCTAGACTCAAACTTTGTTCTTCTGAGGAAGGTGAGACGGATGGTATGTGACTGGCCCAAGGCCACCTGGCAAGCTTCCATGATGCATGGGGATTCGAACCTGGTTCTCTAGATTCTAGACTGACACTCTAACCATTACACCATGCTGGAGACTGATGTGGTTATTGTGCTCCTCACCCAATATAGAGGAAGGGGGGTGGAGTGACCCCTATTCTACTGAAACAGCATTCTCGAATCACCATCTCCAACATAAAGCCAGGGGGGAAACTTTAAATGACACATACGTCACTGAGGACTAGGATGTTAAGCAGTTTTGGTAGGTCAACAGCAGCCCTGTTCTCACAACCTCTGTTCCTCATTACTTGCGAGAGCCCGGCTACCAAGGGGACCCAGTTAGAGATGTAAAATTTCCAGACATTTTGAAGCTCGGAAAAAAACCCGTTTTTTTTTCTGGGTTTTTCCAGGAAAAAGCGGACATTTTTGGGTGAAATAAAACGTTACATAATCAATTTTCTTTTCTTTTTTCAATTTTTCCAAATTTTTGGGAAAAAGTAAAAAAGGCTTCAGGAGAAAAACGGGTTTCCCCCCCGAATTTTTCCGGTTCTTTTCTGGGCCTTCACATCTCTACACCCAGTGCATGAGAACTCTGGCATGCCGAAGGCTCCTCTTGACAACTGGCAAAGGAAGCTGGAGGGCACAGAAATCTCATGGCGTATGAAGGAGCCATCACTGCCAGTGTTCCCCCTAAGTTGAGTTAGTGCGAGCTAGCTCACAGGTCTTTAGCCTCCGGCTCACACATTTTTTGTCTTCGCTCAGGAAGGAGGGCTCCAGAGCAAACTGATTCATGCAGCAGCCCAATCGCTCGCTCACAACTTTAATGCCAGCGGCTCACCAAGCAGAATTTTTGCTCACAAGACGCCACAGCTTAGAGGGAAGAAGAAGGAGAGTCTTCTGAGCCACCTTCTCTCCCTAGCACCTAGTTTTCCCTAGAGGTTTGGGAGATGGGGACTGTAATGTACTCCGCCTTTTTTTCCTGGGCCTTCACATCTCTACACCTAGTGCATGAGAACCCTAGCATGCCGAAGGCTCCTCTTGACACCTGGCAAAGGAAGCTGGAGGGCACGGAAATCTCATGGAGTATGAAGAAGCCATCACTGCCAGTGTTCCCCCTAAGCTGAGTTAGTGTGAGCTAGCTCACAGGTCTTTAGCCTCAGGCTTGAGGTGGGGGGAGGGGGGTGCAGAGAAAGAAAGCAACTTTAACTTTAAATGTGTTCTCAAAGCCCCCCCCCCAGCCTACAAATATCATGGGTGTGTTTTGGTGGTGGTTTTTCTGGGCATATATACCGGCCTGCGAGCCGGCAGTTCTTTGTCTTGTTCTATCCTAATAAAAGTACTTTGCTGAAATCACTCAACGTTTCTCAGTACTTTTCAGGGACAGTCAGTCAGAGAGAGACCAGGGGAAATAAACCGCTGGGGAGACCAGCCAGCTGCTCCTCTCCACACACACACCCCAGAACTGTGCATAGGGATGTCTGCACGTACACAGATAGAGAACACCAGTCCTTCCATATTTGGTTGCCTGTTGCGGAAGCCTTCAGAATTCCCCAGAGACCAAGCTCTCAGGGGACAAGTTTACCCGACAGCCAGGTTTTTCAACGTTCCTGAGTACTGTATAGTCAGGCCCACAAATGGCCCACTGGCTTGTGCTTCCTGAACGGCAACTGCCTAGGCCAGGGGTCCCCAACCTTTTTGAGCCTGAGGGTGCTTCTGAAATTCTGACACAGTGTGGTGGGCACAGCCACAAAAGGGCTGCCACAGCTTATCAAAAAAAGCGCTGCCACAGCGTATTTCCAGCCACACAGTAAAGATCTCGGCGCTGTGGTGGCAGCTCCTGCCAAAGCAACGTCTTGAAAAATCTGCACGGCGAATCGCATCTCCAACGGCCAATCAGAAGTCTTGCTGGGCAAAAGCCTCACTGGGCCCCACCCACTTTCGAAAAGGGCTTGGTAGCCGCCAGGAAAAGCGACGATGGGTGTCATGCTGCCCAGTGGCCGTGTGTTGGGGACTGCTGGCCTGGGTCCTGCTAGCACAGGAGGGGAGAACCCTCGGCTACACAAAAATGTGAAAGTGAAGCAAGCAAAAGTACACCTGCACTCAAAAGACATGCTGGAAACCAACTCAAGGAACTTACTCTGTGAGAAGTGAAGAACATCTCCCTAATAGAGAGCTACTAGCCAACAACGTGAGTCAGAAAGCAAATGCCAGCCAATTCAAAGTAGGCCTGTTGCTGCCAAAAATTTTGGACTGGTTGCTACGACTACAAATTTAGTAATTGGCTTGCTCCTATTCAAGTACTTGCAATGGAACTGAAAGAGGATTTGACTAAGAAAAAAACAAAAAAGAAGCTATACTGTTTTAAAAAAAGAAACTAAGCTGAATCAAGAGGTTGACATCTTCCAACTTTATAAGACTTCTTACTCATGAGGAAGACTGGTGAAATGAGTGTAAAAACCGGTGTGCTCATCGAGGATATGATTATGTTGGACTATGCTTTGCCCATGCCTGAATTCTTTTACCATATTGTAAGATTAATAGCTTCACAAATTGATGCTCATAGAATTATTAAATGTGTCATTGTTAATTTTACCACAGTGGTTTTTGGTCTGTTGGCATGTATCTGTACACTGTGACCCCTTCTCTGGCTTTTTTGGCTAATTGGTAGCAGCATTTAACTCCACACTCTGGGCAGTATCCTTTGTGGAAGCAATGAGTCAGTTTCATGCTGCTTGCATCCACTTCAGCTCCGCTCTTGCATCTAGACCTTCGGACCCCCTGGCTTTGGACTTGGCTCTGTGTTCCTGGCTCCTGACCCTGGCTTGGCTTTAGACTTTGCACCGTCTTCTTGGCTCGTGACCTTGGCCTCTTCCGGACCGTACGGTGTGTCCACAAGGGCACCTTAATTGTATTTCATTCAAGTTAGGTCCCTTATTGCTATTATTGCTAAGTTCTATTTATCTCTGGTGCATTTTTACACCACCCTTCCTCCTATAGCTCAGGGCGGTGTCCATAATTCTCCCTTTCCCATTTTATCCTTGTTAACAGCCTTGTGAGGTAGGTTAGGTTGAGACAGTATGACGTGGTGGTTAAAGTGTCAGACTATGACATGGGACAAGCAGGCTCAAATCACCCCTTCTGCCCTGGAAGGCAGCCAGGCGATATAAGAAGATAAGAGAAGCCATGTGGGATCAGGCTAATGGCCCAGCCAGCCCAATTTGACTTGCACCCCAGCCTGTGACAGATTGCGTCCACCCCAACATACTCGCTCCACAAGATGGAAGAAGGGGCAAGTGGTGGCTCTAAACTGCTGACAGACCTGCTCAACCAGGTGCAGCACCTCACGCAACTGGTTGCTCACCTGCAACAACAAATACAGCAAGCTGCCACCGCTGCCACTGTTGCGCCACCCAAATGCCCGGTAAGCCCACCTGAAAAGTTTGGTGGCAATGTGGAAGAGATTTCTGGCCTTTCTGGCACAGTGTAAACTCTACATTGAGCTGCGTGCTAGAGACTTCCCCAACAACGAAACCAAGGTGTGCTTCATCATTAGTTTGTTAAAGGGACTGGCAGCCAAATGGGCCACCCCCTTACTCTTGGCTCAGTCAGCACTGTTGACTGATTATACCGGTTTCCTTGCTCATCTGTCTACCAGCTTTGCTAACCCCCAGCAAGCAGCAGCAGCAAACAGAAAGATTCGGACACTGAAGCAAGGCAGAGTCTTGGTATGTGTAGGATTGCCAACTCCAGGTTGGGAAATTCCTGGAGATTTGGGGGTGGAGCCTGAAGACCAGTTGGGGGGAGGGACTTCAGCAGGGTATAACACTATAGAGCCCACACACCAAAGCAGCCATTTTCTCCCAGAGAAATGAGCTCTGCAGACTACAGTTGTCATTCCAGGAGATCTCCAGGCCCCACCTGGATGTTGGCAACCCTTCTTATGTGGAGTCAGAGACTGGTCCTTCTGGCTCACTTGACCACCCCGACTGGCAACTGCTCTTTGGGGTTCCGGGCTGAGACAGATCCTTCCCAATACCATCTATCAAGAATTGTTTAACGGCCGAGGACAGGCTGGGACTGAACCTGGGACAGTAATTTCCAGCGTAGAGCCACGGCCCCTCCCTGAAAGCATGAAAATAATTAATATTTTCCCCTTTCATTCCCTGTTACAACCCCACTCCAAACACCCAGCAAAGTGAGTGGGCACCCTTGATCCCCAACCTCACGCCTTTAAAGGGGCCCTCGCCCTTCATCAATTAAAGTTTTCATTTATTTCAAAAATAATTACACCCCACACACGAGACCAGCTTCCAAACCAAGCTGCAGTGCATCTGCAGTGCCAGCGTTTACCGAGAGGTTGTCCTACTTTGTTCAACACGGCTGACTCCCAAGTAAACAGACGTTGGCTAGCCGCCTGAAATCTACTGATCAAAGGCCGCAGCCCTGTCCAATCCCTCGCTTTATTTATTGGGGATCTGGCCTTGGCTTCCAAACGGGTCCAGGGGCTCAGCCCTGAACTCTTGCCAGCCAGCCGGCCTCGGACAGGGCACTGCTCCAAAGAGGAGAGATTCTTTCTACGCTGAGGCCCGCCTGATCTTTCCTTGGATTGGCTGGTATTTTTAGCACCGCTGGAGAACAGATGAAAGGCGACAGGCGCAACGGAGGACGGCCGAGTGTGGAAAAGGGGATCCTGTACAAAGGTCAGAGCTTCCCTTTCAGCAACAGCCGCAGAGATCACCCCAAGACTGGGGCAAAGGAAGAGTGATCGACAATGCGCCACCCAGGAAATCGACCGTACGGTGTGTCCACAAGGGCACCTTAATTGTATTTCATTCAAGTTAGATCCCTTATTGCTATTATTGCTAAGTTCTATTTATCTCTCTGGTGCATTTTTACACCGCCCTTCCTCCTATAGCTCAGGGCGGTGTCCATAATTCTCCCTTTCCCATTTTATCCTTGTTAACAGCCTTGTGAGGTAGGTTAGGTTGAGACAGTATGGCGGTGGTGGTTAAAGTGTCAGACTATGACCTGGGACAAGCAGGCTCAAATCACCCCTTCTGCCCTGGAAGGCAGCCGGGCGATATAAGAAGATAAGAGAAGCCATGTGGGATCAGGCCAATGGCCCATCCAGCCCAATACTTTACATCACACAGTGGCCAAACCCCAAGTTCCATCAGGAGGTCCATCAGTGGGACCAGGAAACCCACCAGTGGGGCCCTGGGCCTGTCACATTCCCTCAGCTTACACTTACCTCACGGGGTTGTTATTGTGAGGAGAGGGGGGAAGAGGAGAGAATTACATGATAAGCGGGAGAAATTTATTTCTAAAAAGGTCACCAAGCGAGCTTCATCGCATGGTCGAATTTGAACCTGGGTCTTACAGATCTACGTCTGAGACCAAACTGCTTCTCCCGGGGCCAGCTCCAACTCTCGAAGTCTTCTCGAGATGGAATCTGTAGAACTGCATATGTCGATGAGTCTTGAATGTTCCCATTACGTTCCCATTCCTTTTCATTAATATGCAGGCTGCTCAGGCACATATTTCCAAAGTGGAAAGGAGGCGTATAAGTGACCCAGATAAATAAAACTGACATTGACAAAGTGTCCCAAAATTAAAAGGGGGAGGGGAACAGAAGCCTCAAAATCCTCGTAAAATGCAGTGTAACTGTACAAATCCAGCACCTTTGTTCTACTGCCTACTGATGCCAAAAATGTAGCAGGAATCAGAGAATCACAGAGTTGGAAGGGGCCATACAAGGCCATCTAGTCCAACTCCTTGCTCAACGCAGGATCAACTTCAAGCATCCCTAACAAGTGTTTGTCTAGCCATTGCTTGAAGACTGCCAGTGAGGGGGAGCTCACCACCTCCCTAGGCAGCTGATTCCACTGCTGAACTACTCTTACAGTAAAATTTTTTCCCTAATATCCAGCAGCTATCTTTCCACCCATAATTTAAACCCATGGTTGCGAGTCCTCTCCTCTGCTGCCAACAGGAATAGCTCCCTGCCCTCCTCTAAGTGACAGCCCTTCAAATATTTCAAGAGAACAATCATGTCCCCCTTCAACCTCCTCTTCTCCAGACTGAACATCCCCAAGTCCCTCAGCCTTTCCTTGTAGGGCTTGGTCTCCAGGCCCCTGATCATCCTCATTGTTCTGTACTCGCTCCATTCTGGCCACATCCTTGGAAGACAGACAGACAACACTCTGTTAGCATGGGCTTTCACTGCCCAGAATGACCACAGATTAAAGCTTGAAAACCATGACTACAGCTACCTTTTGATTCTTGGGGGAAAGAGGTTTTTTTTTAATATAAGAGCAGAAAAAACAGTGTCTGCATTCATGGTTTTCCAACTTCAATTTGGAGGCTTGCGGGGGAGAGAAAATACATACTGGCTGCACATTCTAAGACTGATAACCAAAAAACACAAACAGTGAGAACAGATCGTCAGATGTATCATAGAGGCTAGAAACCGGGAAGCTGGTATACCTCAGCTGGCCTTGCCGATCCTGAAAATCTTGCTTGGGCAATACCACGCCAGGACTCGAATGCACCACCACAGGGAGACGATACTCCAGGTATGCCGTTTTCAGCCACCAGTCCGAGAGCTGGGAAGACAAGAGGGGTTGATTTAATAGCCTAAGGTCAGCACGAAGGCAGGATCGAGGTTACAGTTTCTGGTGGTGAAGCGCAAGGGTACACAGGCAGATTCTGCAGTATTCGTACATTAAGGGATCCCCGGGTCAAAAGTCAGTTATAGATTGTTCAATCTTAGGTCTAGTTCACACACGCAAGGAAACCAGGGAGTACAACGTAAGGCACCACTTGAGACTATACATGGTAGATTTTAGCTTTGCATATTCCTTTTGAGCAAAATGCTACTTCCAAGTAGAAACAAGGCAAAAGACTCCACACCTTTGCCCTTTGCTGTTTTTCTATTTTCAGGGAGTGATTTTTCTTTTTTTTTAAATACAGGGGAACACTCCAATACCAGAACGTCACTCTCCACGAGCGGCTTGAAGCAGTGCAGCCCATTCGGCCACCTTCTTCTCCTGCACATATGAATCAGGCCCAAGCCACCCCCTTATTGTTCCGACCTCCTCTGGGACCCGAGCCGGCCACTCACCCAGTTCTCATGTTTCCGAGCCCTCCTCTCCAGCCCCTTCTGCAGGCGTTCCCCGACACCGCCCGGCCTCCGAAACTCCTCCACCAGCTGCCTGGTGTGGTTCAGCTCCTCCTCGCTGATGATGGGCTGCACCGCCAACAGGTAACGATCCAAGGTCTGCTGGAGTGGCGGAACTGGAAGGGACGGCAGGCCCTCTTGGTGGGCGAGGTATCTGCCTGGAAGCTTCCTCAAAGCCACCGGTTTCACCAAACTCGATGGCCTAGCCTGTGAGTCACAAAGCACACATGTCAGACTAGGGTTGCCATCCTCCAGGTGGGGCCTGGAGATCCCCTGGAATTACAACCGATCTCCAGACTACAGGGAGATCAGTGCCCCGGGAGAAAATGGCTGCTTTGGAAAGTGGAATCGATTTGTCAAGCTCAGCCCTAACGTTCGTTTCCTTAAGTTCTGCTTTCCCTTCGCTTGTCATGTTGAATTCCTGGGGGGGGGTGCGTGTTGTTGCAGTGCATGGGGGTAGTAGCCATCATCATTCCTTAAGCTGTGCCCCAAGAGTTGGTTCTCGTGTGATTGACCTTGAAGACTCTCTGTGCCTAGGCTAGGTTAGATAGGGCACCATATATCTGTCTGTGTTGCCATAGTAACGCTGGGGGTTAGGTGTGACGTATGAGTGTGGAATTTTATGCTATAACCTGTATATTTTACCTATAGCCTGTAATTTCCCGCCATTTTCTTCAGTCCTAACAAAAGTCCTCGTACCTACAGCGAGCATATCTTCAATAAAGCATTTCACTGCCAATAGTGTGTGTGGAGAGTGTTTTAGCCAGGGACCTGACACTGTTGCACTATACCAGGGGTGTCAAACATGTGGCCCGGGGACCAGATGAGGCCCCCAGAGGGCTTCTATCAGGCCCACAGTGGAACTGGCTGTCTTCTGCTTCTTCTTACAGTTCTGCTGCTGGTTTGCAGCTTACAGATGCACACCTGAACAGCATACTCAAGATTGCAACAGCACAGACATTTTGACGCAATAATTTGGAGCAAGAGGTGTCAGTTATCAGACACAGTTAAATAAACAAAATATTGCAAGAGTGCTAATGTTTTAAGCATGTTTTTATTTTAAGTAAAAAAAAACCTTTGTGTTTGGGTCCTTTATAAAGTTTATATCTCCGCTACCTGGCATTACATTTTATGACACACCTGACCTGGCCCAACAAGGTCTCATTTATGTCGGATCCGGCCCTCATAACAAATGAGTTCGACACCCCTCCACTATACTCTACTGAGGTCCCTCCCTTTCCTCAAACCTTGCTTTCCCCAGGCTCAAACCCCCACACACACACGGTAATTTCCCTACCTTGAGTTGGCAGTCATACATAAGACCCTTCACAGCCCAGCATGCATTCCTTCCCAACAAGAACCTCACTCTCACTGTATCTGGGACGTACTGCTGGAATCAGTTTACAGCCAAATGGCAGGATTAAACCTGGAATCCGGTTAACTCGGGAGGGTGTAAACTCTATACATGACTGTGCTCAGGGGTAATTTCCTGCAGGGGCGCACAGGAGCGGAGCTCCGGCAGTAAAGAGCCCAGGGGGTGGGCACATGCAACAAGCCCCACCCCCTGCTCCCAGCAGCCCTCAGTCAGAGCAAGAAGCAGCCAGGTAAGTTGCAGAGCCCCCCCCCCGCCCCCCCGGTCCAAAACAGTCCACTGGCACCTTTAAGACCAAGTTTTATTCAGGTACAAGCTCTCCTTCCTCCGCGAGGACAGATCTGCACGTCCCCCCCCCCCAATAGCTAGCAATCCAAAACAGTCCAGTGGAGCCTGAGCGGTGGGTGTTGCCTTCTGACACACTTCCACTGATGTCAGGGGGTGTGGCATATGCAAATAAGTCATGCTAATGAGTTACGCTAATGAGCTCCTGCACCTCTTTTTCTACGAAATGACCCCTGACCCCAGTGGTTCTCGGTGTGGAGAGGAGGGTGGGGAAAGCGGGGCACGAACCCTGCCACAACGGAGGACTCATGCACATTTCTCCTTAACCAGTTACCGATGACATGCGGGGGCTTCTGTGGCTGCGTTCAGACAATAGTTCCTTGAGGCCGGGCATGGACCTTGGTGATGGGACTGCCAACCTCCAGATGGTGGCTGGAGACTTCCCTCTGTTACAACTGATCTCCGGGTGACAAAGGTCAATCTACCTGGAGGAAAGGGTGGCTCTAGAAGGTGATCTCAATGGCCTTATCCCCCACTGAAGTCCCGCCCCAAAACCCGCCCCCCCAACCCAGAGCTGGCAACCCCACTTGGAGAGCCAGACATTTCTACGCATGCAAGTTAAGTGCCGTCAAGCCGCTTCCGACTTATGGAGGCCCTATGAATGAATGTCCTCCAAAACCTCCTAATATTTGACAGCCATTCTCAGGTCTTGCAAACCGAGGGCCTTTGTGGCTTCCTTGACTGAGTCCATCCGTCTCCTGTTGGGCCTTCCTCATTTCCTGCTGCCTTCCACTTGTCCTAGCATAGAATCGTCGCGTTGGAAGGGACCTCCAGGGTCATCTAGTCCAGCCCCCTGCACAATGCAGGAAATTCACAAATACCTCCCCCTCCACACCCGCAGTGACCCCCTGTTCCACACCCAGAAGATGTCAAAAAACCTCCAGGATTGCTTCTTGACCCTAAAGTGGCAATCAGCATTTCCCAGGGCATGCAAGAAAGGGCCACGAGAACAAAGCACTGAGGCAACCCTTCCTGCCCTCCCTTCTCATAATCTGCCTCAGTTCACAGAATCCGCGTGGCTGTCCGAGGGCCATCTAGCCTCTGTTTGAAAACCTCCAAAGGAGGAGAGCCCACCACCTCCCCAGGAAGCCTGCTCCACTGAGCAACCGCTCTGAGGAGTGTCTCTTCGATGATTGTCTCTTCCAGTGTCTTCTCTTGTCTTCTCATAACATGACCAAAGTACGTTAGCCCCAGTTTAGTCATTTTAGCTTCTAGGGAGAATTCAGGCTTGATTTCATCTAGAACCCACCGATTTGTCTTTTTGGCAGTCCACGGTA